CGGTGGAAGCGTAACTGCTGAGTCAGCTCAGGGGGTAAAGACACAGCTGCTCTTTCAGAGAACTTGAGCCTGATTCCCAGCACCCACACGACAGCTCAAAACTGTAACTCTACTCCGAGGGGGGGTATGAAACCCTCTTCTGGGGGGCTGGAGAGGTGGCTCAGCGGTTAAGAGTATTGGCTGCTCTTCCTGAGGACCCAGGTTCAGTCCCAGCATCCATATGGCAGCTCAAAATTGTCTGCAACTCCAGTTCCAGGGGATCTGGCTTCCTCAGACAGACAGACAGACAGACATACAGGCAAAACACCAAAATACACATAAAAATAAATTGTTTTAAAAAAAACAATATACTTGATGCAGAGACATAAATGCAAGCAAACACCCATACACATAAAATAAAGATTAAACTAAAACTATTAACTTTAGCCCTAAGTACAACTGAAAATCTGGAACACAGTACTGGAGGTAACTAAGTTTAAATGGAATTAACCTAAAAACTAAACAGGAGCACCCCTGCTAGACAGGCTAACAAGAAATTTAGCCAGGCAGTGGTGGCACATGCCTTTAATCCCAGTACGCAGGGGGCACAGGGAGGCGGATCTCTGAGTTTGAGACCAGCCTGGTCTAGAATTCCAGGCCAGTGCTCTCAGCACATATACTAAAACTGCAACAATACAGAGAAGATTAGCGTGGCCCCTGTGCAAGGATGACACCAATTAAAATAAAAATAAACTAAAAAATAAACTATTTAGAATTCCAGGACAGCCGGGGCTATACAGAGAAACCCTGTCTAGAGGAACAACAACAAAAAGTTTATTGAAAAAGGCTATGGAGTGAAAGTAACTTGGAAGGTCTCAGTGGATTATAATAAACCCTAGACCAGGCTGGCCTCAAACTCAAGAGATCTCCCTGCCTCTACCTCCCAGCTAAAGGTATGTGTCACTAGCCTGGCTAACATTTACCTTTTTAAAGAACCTAACATTTTGAGACAGATGTGAAAGGCTGCCTGTCACTCTCCCGTAAGAGTCAGGGCCATAGATAGCTACAGCTCTGACCTCAAGGCCTACAACGCCTTCTCGGGGCTAGCCTTGTCTCCCTCTGGCAGCTTTGCTGTCACCCGACTGCACCATGCACACCCCTTTCTCCTAGTCTCTTCTCTTCCCCCAGAGAGCTAGTCCTTTTATCATAGTGAGGCCTTCCCACTCCACATCTCTCTCTCTCTCTCTCTCTCACACACACACACACGTACACTCTACACATGACGCACGCACACTCTACACACACACACGCGCACACTCTACACACACACACACACACGCACGCATGCACGGGCACACTCTACACACATATGCACGCACACACTCTACACACACACGCGCAGGCACACACACATGCATGTGCACTCTACACACACACACACGCACGCATGCACGCGCACACTCTACACACATATGCACGCACACACACTCTACACACACGCGCGCAGGCACACACACATGCATGTGCACACTCTACACACACACATATGCACGCACGCACACTCTACACACACGCGCACACACACACTCTCGCGCACACACACGGGCAGGCACACACACACACACACACACACGCACGCACGCACTCTGCACACATCCCTTCTCATGCTACCGGCCATGACCATGCCCCCGTCCGTTCAGTAAGCCAAGGGCATGGCCACACAACACGACACACCAGAAAGTAAGAAACTTTCCACTCTTCCTGCACGATACATCAAGAACCAACAAAACTGCCCTTTCTCTTCAGTTTACTCTTTAATTTTCTGGACTTTGGTTTGTCTTGAGTATATATTCCTATTCTCTTTTTGACAATTTTTAAATTAGTGAAAATGATGCTCAGCTGTCCATCAGTATCAGAGATTAGTCCCAGGACCACCTGCATAGCAAAGTTCAGCCCCTTATTTAAAATAGCACTGTTTGGCTGGGTGTTGGTGACACAGACCTTTAATCCCAGCACTCTGGGAGGCAGAGGCAGGCAGATCTCTGTGAGTTTGAGGCCAGCCTGGTCTACAGAGCGAGTTCCAGGACAGGCTCCAAAGCCACAGAGAAACCCTGTCTTAAAAAATGAAAACAAAACAAAAAAACAAACAATCAAATAAATAATAAAATAGCACTGTTTGGCCAGGCATAAAGGCACACAAACCCCTTTAATCCCAGCACTAGGGGCAGAGGCAAGATGATCTCTTAGGGTTACTCTGTCTCAACTAAATAAATAAATAAGTAAATAAAAAATAAAAGCGGTACTGTTTGTCGTGGATGGGAAAAGAACACAGTTGGTACTCAGTTGTTTGATATACACAAATCCCAGTCTCCACCTCCAGCACCACATAAACCCAGTGCTGTAAAACTCATCCTCTATATATTAGGAAGCCAGCCTGGGCCTGGAGACCTTGCCACAAACAAAAAAGAGCAGTGTTCATGTGAAATCCACACACCCTCTGGCATTTTAAAACCCCGCCCCCCCCTTTCCCCTCTCCCAAGCTGGCTACAGAAGGAACCCAGGGCTCCCTGCATGCCCAGCAAGTGCTCTACCACTGAGTTACATCCCCAGCCCTTTTTACTGTTAAGACTTTGAGACAGGGTCTCACTAAGTTGCCCAGGCTGCCAACAAACTCATTCTGTAGTCCTGGAATTAAGTAGCTGAAATTACAGGTGTGTGCCACTCGGGCCGGTTTAAAACATCTTCAGTGACTTAAAGTACTTAATGCAATATAAATACTATGTAAACATTGTTACATTGTATTGTTTAGGGACTGTTAACAATTAAAAAAAAAAAGTCTACACCTGGTCAGTGTAAATCGGTTTCTTTTTGCGTAGCCCTGGCTATCCTGGAACTACCTCTGTAGACCAGTGCCTCCCAAGATTAAAGGTGTTCGCCAGGTAGCTTCCTGAATGTTTCAATCTAAGGTCGGCTGACTCCACACATGAGAACTTCTGGATACTTTTCTATTTTCTATCTGGATACTTTTCTGGATATTTTCTATTTTGGTTTTTCTCTTAATAAATGATGGCGCTCCGTCTGTTTTTCTCCTTATTTCTTCTATAGCTGCAGACCATTTTATTACATAAATGTAATTACTGATTTCAGGTGGGCTCCCCACTTTGTAAAAGTTAGGATGCTTGCGTCTGCGTCCTCAGCAGTGAACTGCTCCTTCCATCAGGAAGAACGACTCCCCTGTTACCCTCAAGACTGGGTCTCCTCCGAGTGTTTCCTTTTCCATTCACTCACTCATTCATTCAACAAACACCACCTGAGCAACTCGAGCGTGCGCGTGCGATGGGCGCTGCGCTGGGAAGCGGGCACAGACGGACACAGACGGACACACACACACACACACACACACACACACACACACACACGGGAAGCCGGCACGGACGGACACACACACCCAGTCCCCGCCCACACAGAGATCAGGGTCAGAGCCACCCTCAGACTGCAGCACACCGTAAATGCAACCCTAATACCAAATCGGACCACACGCGACAGAGGGCAAAGGCTCGGGGACCCGTGAGAGCCTCCGGCAGGAGGATTTCGGGGAGGGGGGACGGGGGCTCCGTAGGGGAAGTGACGCGGGGCGCCGAACCCCAAGCCCAGGGATGAAAGGGGGCTGGGCAGCCAGGCTGATGGACGACCGCAAGTCTGGGGAGCGGAGCGGGGCAGAGGCCCCGGGCGGGAAGCAGGCACATGGCCAGCCCGGGGCCGAAGGGCCGGCTGCGGCTGTGCTGAGCGCGGGCGGGAGGCCTCGGAGGCCCGCGGGCCCGGCTTCCGCGGGGGCCGCGCTGGAACTTTGGCCGCGGGGGACTCGGTAGCCGAGGCAGGGTCCCGAGCGGGGCGGGGAAGCAGCGGCCCGCGACCCCGCTGCCCCCGGCCCGCCCCGCCGCTCGCGCCGCGGCCTCGTCGGCGCCCCTCCTCCCCTCGCCCCAGGTCCTCACGCCGCCACCCGCTCACCGCGGCTCCGGCCTCCGTCCCCCTCGCGCCCCCTCAGCAGCGCCTCTCCAGAGACGCTGCCGCCGCCGCCATCTTCCGCCCGCCGCCGTGACACAGCGCAGGCGCTGCACTAGCAGGGCCGCCGGGAAATGGAGTCCCGCACCGCGGCCCGTCCCCGCCCCTACGGCGTGCCGCGTCGGCAGCCGACCGCCCTCCGCGGGTGTCCACCGGGGCGGCCGCCATTTCCGGCCTTCGAGCGCCATGCCTTTTGGGAAATGTAGTCCGTGGTGCGCAGGCGCCGGACGGAAATGGAAACGGAGGCTTCTGGGAAATGGAGTTCGCGGAGGCCGGAGGCCCCACCTCCCTAGACGGCAAGCTGACGTTAGGCTGGGGAGTGCCGTGAGCGGAGCCCCTGGGTCTTGGAGGAAGTGTGGTGCCTTAATGGGGTCTGAATAGAAGCCCTGAGCCTTTCCACCGCTGGCTCTGACCCCACACACAGCCTGCAGCATTTGCAGTCGTCGAAAGCTTCAGTCATCCCGTCTATTGAATGGGAAAGTGGTTTCCAGAATCCCCGCGGGCTACTTCACGGAGTCGTGCAGGGACTGGTGGAGTCCTGAACGCTGTCAGCCTCCTTTCCTTCGTGGAGGACTTGCAGGGTTCTGGCGTTTCCCTCTTAGGTGGGGATGCTGAAACACCTCGAGGCGGAACTATTTCCACGCCCTCGCGTTGGGCTCTGGGGCTCTTGGGGATCAGCAGTGTGTGGTCCTACTCCCCGTCCCTGGTAGCTCCCCCACTCCTCGTCCATCGCTAGCTCCCAGGTGCCGGGACCGAGGCTCCCGGTGTCTAAGGTCTGTCTCCCTGCGATCCCGCAGGGGGCGCCCCAATCCGAGCGCGCCGCCCTAGGGGAGAGGTGGGAGGGGAGCCCGGGGCGGGCCAGGGCGGGGGTGTCCCGGCTATAAAAAGTGACTGCCTCCCTGGGCGCCTGGGCCAGCGGGACTCCCGGGCTGCGTGCCTCAGTTCGGAACTCGGGGCCAGTGCCTGCCGAGAGACCGAAGCGCTCGGTTCCCCCGGGGGGCCGCAGCCGGGGCGTGTGGGGGCGCAGGCCCGGGGGATGCTGGGCTCTGTGAAGATGGAGGCCCATGACCTGGCCGAGTGGAGCTACTACCCGGAGGCGGGCGAGGTGTGTCCTCGGGGATGGCGGAGCGGGACATGGGGGCAGGTGTGGGACTGCAGGCTTACATGCAAACAGGGGCCGTTTTTTGTGGGCCCAGGTGAGAGCCAAAGACCTGGGTACACGGAAACCAGGTGTGACAGTCGGGGACAGGGGGCAAGGCTTAGAAGGGCGATTTAGACAAGCAGGTCCAGGCAGGCGATGGTTTGCTTTCAAACGAAGAAAATATTAGCCAGAAAACCTGAGGGTCATATAAGAACGGTGTTGAGACCCTGATTCAAATGAGCAAATTGGAGATGGGAATCGGAGCTCTAGGGTAGGGGAGTAGACCTGGAGGGCCTCGAGAAACGAGGTTCGACGTAGAGAGGACGGGTTGGGAACCCCCACTAAGAAAAGTCTGGTGGGAGTTCAGGGTTAAACACAGGGCTGGGGAGGGAGGGGGGAGGCTTTGGGCGGTTGGGGGTAAGCGGGGTCGTTTTGGGGAAACTACTGTATGTAACAGGTGGCTTAGCCTGGCTAGCCCTCAGATGACGTCAACCTTGGGAGATCAAAAGACATATGGGCATCCACACCTGTGTGATAGGAGGCAGTTTCAGGCCACATCCTTACCGCCCTCAGCAGGGACCCCCGCCTCAGGCTGTGCACAGTCTAGTCATTGCTGGGTTGACTTTAATTCCTTCATCCTGACAAACAGAAAGTCCCTTGGCAAGTCTAAGTCCTGTTTGTGCTTTGTCCACTCACCCTGTAATCCATATTGTGATGGTGGGGAGGATGTGAGGTTCTGGACCCAAAGATTCCTAACCTGGGAGAGACTTAAGGTGGACGTGCCGTGAGATGGTGAGATGGCAGGGCTCACCAACAAAGTCAAGATACAGTAGTTGAGGGAGGTGGCCAGGATCTGTATTTCCAAATTGTGGGGTTGGACGCTTGGATCCTTAGGGGTTGTGGGGCTTGGACCTGGCTAGGTGCCTGGGAGGGGCCTGTCCGTGGTCTGGGGAGGGCTGTGTGTGTGTTGGGGAGGCAGAGTTGACCGGGAAGGGACTAGGAGCGTGGGGAGGGGGAAAGGGCAGGCTGGAGGTGTTGGGTGAGATTATGGGGAAGGCAGAGGCCAAGGTGGTGCCTGCAGGCTCTCAGGTAGTTGGGAGTTTGAGCATTGGGGTTTAAGAGCCAACTCCAAATCGGTCGTTCTGGGGACGTAGCTGAAGAAGTTAGTCTGGGGTTGTTGACTCTAAGGAGGAGAGGCCAAAGTTTGGGGGTAGTGTGTGAATGCCACTCCCCCAATTAAGGAGACAGGCCAGTTGTAGATCTGTGGGCCTGTAACCCTAGCACTTGGGAAGCTAAAGCCGGAGGATGACAAGTTCCAGGCCAGCTTGACCTACAGAATGAGACCTTGGGGGAAGGGAAGTTAGGTGAGGGTCGGCCTAGATGTAATTTTGCAAGAGTCAACATAAGGGGAGAGGGGACAGTTCAGAGCGACTGTTAAAGGTTCCCACCACCACCACCGCCCTTCTGCAGCCATGTGCCACAGGGTACCAGCAGTAAGGCAGCACCTGCCGCTTCTCAGCAGGAGAGCCCATCTCTCCTTGTTCTTGAGGACAGTGGGTGGGCTGCATTCCACTGGGACTAAGAACAGACAAGACCCACCCCCCCCCCTCACACACACACTCTAATGGCGGCTGCTGGTTGGGGGTGGGCAAGGTTGATACCTGTGTCCTACTCTGTGGGTAGCTGGTAAACCCATGGGACCCCAACAGCTCCTCCTCCCCCCATTTTAGAGATGGGCGGTAGGGTCCACACGTCGGGTCTGGAACCGGGTCTGGAACTGGAAGCGTCCCCAGGCTTCCTCTCCCTGTTGTCTAGCACACCCTTCTCCAGAAACAATAAGGAAATGAAAAGGAAGAGATTATCGCCTCCCAGGTGGGGATGCAGGTCCCCTGAGGGCTTCCCCCCACTCCCAGCCGCACCCTGAGTGGGGGAGATCCGGCTCAGACCCGGACATCAGGGGTTCATCCCAGCAGTGGGGCGTGGGAAAGTCTAGGGTGGATTAGAGCGGCAGGAGTGCTTGAGGTCAGACCTCAAGGAGGACTTCCGGGTGGGTGGGGAGCCAGGAAAGGAAGGCCCTGATGACCCGGGGTTGGAGAAGTGGAGTGAGGCGCAAAGGGATTAAGAGGCTCTGGAACCCCCTGAGGCCTTCACTTTTCCTTCAAAGGGGCGGGGCAGAAGCCGGCAAGCCGGGTGGGTGGACCAGAGAGTGGAGGAGGAGGTTAGGGAAGCGGGCTCCTGGAGAGATGGGTACGGAGGAGAGTTACCCAGCTCGGCTGCACACAAGGGGGCTTGCCCGGAGGGAGGGAGAAAGTGCAGGAAAGGGAGACTAGCCTGAGGCAAAGAGATGCGGTGGCTGACCAGGGCTGTGTGGAAGAGGGAAGAGAGGGACCAGGGAGGCAGACACTGGGGGGCCGAGCCTCTGGGGTGGGGCTGGAGGGACACGCTTGGGGCTGGGGTACGCAGGGCCAGATGCAGGAGCCAGGGGTGGTGGTAAACACCTTTAATCCCAGCCCGAGGGAGGGAGAGGCAGCCAGGGCTGTGTAGCCAGATCCTCAGTCAGCCAGAGACAAGGGAGGAAGGAAAGGAGGAACGGACTGTGAGATCCCAACAGAGAGCTGCCTGCCGAGCCCCTGGTGGCGGACGTGCCTGTAGAGTGTGTTTGGGAAGTGCGGGCAGGAGGCTCAGGAATTTGAGGCCGCCCTTGTCTATTTGCAAGAGACACCTGTGGGTGCTGGAGAGCGGGCTCAGCAGTTAAGAGCCTATGCTGCTCCTGCAGAGGACCTGAGTTCAGTTCCCAGCACCCATGTTCCCCAGCTCACAACTGCCCATAACCCCCACCCAGGGGATCTGAAAGCATTTTCTGGCTTCCCTGCAGCACCCACACTGACTTGCACATTCCCACGCAGATACAGCATCTGGGGCCGTAGGACACCAGGTAAAATGTTTGTCTGGTAGGCAGACAGTCCCGGGTTTGGTTTCCCAGCGCGATGTAAACCAGGCTTGGTGCCCTCGCTTCTCGGGAGGCAGAGGCAGAAGAATCAGAAGTTCCAGGTCATCCTAGATTTAGCTCAGGGCTACCCTGGGCTACATGACACTCTTTGTCAAAGGAGGGAAGGAGAGAAGAGCCGCCTGGAGAGGCGGGTTTCCGAAGAAGGTGCAGGGAGCCGGCACCTGCCCCTGACTCCCTAAGCTGTTCTGACAGGGCCTCCAGTCCAGCTCATGCTCACAGCGTCAAGAGAACCAGAAACCCGGTGGTTTCCGCTCCAATCAGCACCAAGCCTAAGGTGCCCTCCAAGCCGTGAGATCCCAGCCCGGGAGAGGAGAGGGTGGTCAGGCATATGGAAGGCGGGAGGAGACTAGAGATGGGAGATGGGTAGGTATATATACCCAGGAAGAGAAGGAACATCCAACATGGGGGGGGGGCTTCCCTGCTCTTTGGGGTCACTGACTTACTGCTAGACTGAGCTCCACAGGGGGGCATTTCCATAGCACCGTCCAGGGCACCCGTAGGGCCCTGGTTCTAGACTACCGAGATTCTTCCTCTTTCTGTGACCCTCACCCTCTGACAATTTCTCTGAAGCCACAGCCGACTCAGCTGTAAAATAGGCGTCAAAACATCTCTTAAGCAAGGAGTGTATCTCCGTGCTAAAGCCTCGGTATAGAATCCCCCAGTGAGGCTGCTTGGTGGTGGCTGCGGCCCACACCTTTGATCTCAGTACTCACTCACTCGGGAGGCAGAGGTATGAGGATCTCTCTGAGTTCAAGGCCAACCTGGTCCATGACAGGCTTCAAAGCTACACAGAGAAACCCTGTTTCGAAAAACCAAAAGAGAAAGAAAAATCCCCCAGTGAGGGTTTGGGGGTCTGGGGGCATGGCTCAGTGGTAGAGCCCCTGCCTAGTATTGTGAATCTGGGATTCAAGTCTGCCCTAACCACAGAACATGACTATCACAGTAATAATAGTATACACACATGTTTGTATGGATTAGAGACAATACCTGTGAGATGCTTGGTCAGTTCCTTGGACGGTGTAGAGGGTGGACAAATACCTGTTGGAAATGGCCATACCTACCTGTAATCCCAGTACTAGGGATACTGAGGCTGCAGAAGGAGTTTGAGGCCAGCGTGGGCTGCATAGCAAGACCCTGCCTTTAAAAAAACAATGGAGATGAGTGGTGCACCGTCAATCCCAGCGCTCGGGAGGCAGAAGCAGGTGGATTTTCTGTGAGCTCGAGGCCAGCCTGGTCTCCAGAGCGAGTTCAAAAGCGATCAAATGAAAGCCTCTGGGCTGGCTGAAAAAATATGCAGATGCGGATTTGTTATCAGAAAAGCATTTCAGTATATATTGACCTTCCTGCCCGGCCAGGGAGCACAGGTGCAAGCCACCACCGTGAGCCTGCCGGTGACTCTGAAAGACACAGTCTATGGTAGGGACACAGTGTGTACCGTATCTCACCAAGCTAAGGACACATGTTCCCCTACGTGAACGATTCCCACATTTTGTAAATTTCTTTTCAAATCCTTAACATCTCATTTATGTTAAGTAGAAGAGTGTGTGTTTGAACATGTGTGTGTTCGCTCATGTGTACGTGTGTTTCTTCTGCCATGCGTGAGCGTGTGTGTATGTGTCTGTGTGTATGTATGTGTGTTTGTGTGTATGTATGTGTCTCTGTGTGTATGCATGTGTGTGTGTGTGTGTCCCATGTGCACATGCAGTTGGAGAGAGACTATCTCAGGAAATGGAGATCCAACTCCATCTTCTGGCCCCCTTCCTTGGCTATCAGGCACTCACATAATATACACCCATATAGCCTGGCAAAACAATCATATACATAAAATAAAACAAAGATAAGAAAAAAATGGAAAATTGCTGATTTGTTACATAAATCAATTTTTTGGCTGACTTGGCTAATTTCAATTGATTTCTCAATTATTTTCAAATCAAATAATTGATTTGATGTCTCAATTTTACTCTGATCAGAATTCCCCCCCCACACACACACCATTTGAAGATGATCTCTTGTTTTGACGCCCTGGCTAGTCTGGAAGTTGCTCTGTAGTGTAGCCCAGGGTTACCTTGATCTCCCGTGCCATCCTCCTGAGTGCAGTGATTAAGTCCGGTACCACTATGCCCATCAAGGAGACATTTAAAACCTATATTACATTCCAAAGGTTTTCAGTATGTACATGTGTGTGGTTGTGTGCCCATGAGGGAAGGTGCTCCAGAACTGTAGGTGTTAGATCCCCTGGGGCTAGAATTATAGGCAGTTGTGAGGTGCCCAGTGTGTGTGCTGGGAACCGGATTCCTGCCCTTGGTGAAGGGCTAGCAGCATTTGCTCTTAACCGCCGAGCCATCTTACCAGCCCTCAAACCTGTTTACACTATTTAAAAAATTATTGAAGACGCAGGGTGTGCATGCCTTTAATCCCAGCACTTAGGAGGCAGAGGCAGGTGGGTCTCTGGTCTACAAAGCGAGTTCCAGGACAGCCAGGGCTACACGGGGAAGCCTTGTCTCAAAAACAAAACCAATAAATAAGTATTAGAGACTTCAAACAATTTCTTTTTCTTTCTTTTTTTTGGAGACCGGGTTTCTCTGTGGCTTTGGAGCCTGTCCTGGAACTTGCTCTTGTAGATCCGCCTGCCTCTGCCTCTGCCTCTGCCTCTGCCTCCCCAGTGCTGGGATTAAAGGAGTGTGCCACCACCGCCTGGAAACCCCAGGTTTCATGGCTCCGTTTTCCAGGGTCTTGCCAGGTACCCTCCTGCCCCTCTTTCTCCACCCGTTTCTATTGATCTGGGACTGATAATTATTGTATTCAAAACTAGAACTTTTTTAATTTAAATTGAAAAATATACATTCGTGTAGTTTAAAACCATACTTATGTTTGCATATGTACGTGACCACACAAATGTAACGGTCAGAGGACAACTCTCAGGAATCAGGCCTCTTCCTCCTACCATGTGGGTCCTGAGGATCGAACTCGTGTTGTGAGACTTGGGGGCAAGCGTCCTTACCCACTGAGCCATTTGCAGGCTCCTAATTTAGATTACTATTATGATTTGAGTCAGGGTTACTCTTTGTGTAGCCCTGGCTGGCCTTGAACTCACAGAGATCTGCCTGCCTTCCCACCACCAGCAGCTGGCCCTTAAAGAGTTAGTTTAAAACAGCAGTCATTTATTAGTATAACTAAGGGGCTTCAGATGCTGTTTAAAAAGAATAGTGAGCTTGAGAGAAGCATTAGCCACACAGCGAGATCCCGTTTCTAAGACAAACCAAATTCAGTGAGAAGACACTGTCTCCTACCTTTGCCACACAGCTGGCAAGTTGTAAGAGTACACGCTAGACCTTTGCTCTATTGCAATAGCAGATGTCACAGATCAATGAGAAGCTCGTTATACACTCGTATGAAAGAAGGTACAAAAGGCTGACAAAATCTTTCTCTTTTGATTTACTAGAGTGAATCCAGGCCCTCCTGTATGTATGCTAGGTAAGCAGCCTACCACTGAGTCACGCCCCCAGCCCCTCACTGGGGGATTCTAGGCAAGGGCTCTACCACTGAGCCACACCCCAGCCCCTCACTGGGGGATTCTAGGCAGGGGCTCTACCACTGAGCCACGCCCCCAGCCCCTCACTGGGGGATTCTAGGCAGGGGCTCTACCACTTGGCCACACCCCCAGCCCCTCACTGGGGGATTCTAGGCAGAGGCTCTACCACTGAGCCACGCCCCCAGCCCCTCACTGGGGGATTCTAGGCAGGGGCTCTACCACTGAGCCTCACCTCCTGTCCTTTTACTGTTCATTTTGAGACAATATCCTAATAAGTTGTCCAGGCTGTCCTAGAAGCCTCTCTGAAGCCCAGGCTGGCCCTGAATTTGTGATTATTACCGTCCCAGGTAGTTGGGATCACAGGCCTGTACCATGATGCCTGGGAGAACTGATACTTTACTATGATTTTGAAAATGTGTATGCCTTTAATCTCAGGAGGCAGAGGTAGGCAGATCTCTGCGTTCGAAGCTAGCCTGGTCTACACAGTGAGACCCTGTCTCTAAACAACAAAAATAAAAATAAAAAATGAACATGGCCTTGACCTGGTAGATACCTGAAGTGGTTTCAGAGACTCCCCCAGGGTATTTGAGACCACCTTCACTTCAAACATGACCATGAAGGAAGGGGGACAGCATTTGGGGAGGCAGCGACCTCCAGAGAGGTAAAGATGGAAGGGACCCATAGAAAAGGCAAAACAGAGCTGGGCAGTGGCGGCACACGCCTTAAATCCAAGCACTCAGGAGGCAGAGATCTTGGGGTCTCTGTGAGTTCAAGGCCAGCCTGATTTACAAAGAAACCCTGTCTCAAAAAAAAAAGGGGGGGCAGGGGTCAAGACAGGCATGGAGCTGGGTATTATGGCCACACCTGGCTTCCCAGCAATTACAAGGCAGAGACAAGAGGATCAGAAATTCGGGGTCAGTCTTGGTTGCAGTGAGTTTGAGGCTGGGCTGGTTAAGGCCATTCAGCGAGACCAACACTGGCATGGACCTGTACTCGAGCTCCTTTGCTGAGCCCGCGTCTGCTTCTTTCCCGGCAGGTGTACTCTCCAGTGACCCCCGTGCCCACCATGGCCCCTCTCAACTCGTACATGACCTTGAACCCGCTCAGCTCTCCCTACCCTCCGGGAGGGCTTCAGGCCTCCCCTCTGCCTACCGCAGGACCCCTGGCGCCCCCAGCCCCCGCGGCACCCCTGGGGCCCACCTTCCCAGGCCTGGGCGCAGGTGTTAACAGTGGAAGCAACAATTCCGGGTATGGAGCCCCAGGTCCCGGGCTGGTCCACGGGAAGGAGATGGCGAAGGGGTACCGGCGGCCACTGGCCCACGCCAAACCACCATATTCCTACATCTCTCTCATCACCATGGCCATTCAGCAGGCGCCAGGCAAGATGCTGACCCTGAGCGAGATCTACCAATGGATCATGGACCTCTTCCCATACTACCGCGAGAACCAGCAACGCTGGCAGAACTCCATCCGCCACTCACTGTCCTTCAATGACTGCTTTGTCAAGGTGGCGCGCTCCCCAGACAAGCCAGGCAAAGGCTCCTACTGGGCCTTACATCCCGGCTCCGGGAACATGTTCGAGAACGGCTGCTACCTCCGCCGTCAGAAACGCTTCAAGCTGGAGGAGAAGGCGAAGAAAGGAAATGGCGCCGCATCCGCCGCCAGGAATGGCGCAGTGGGCTCAGCCAGCTCTGCCACCACCACCACCACGACAGCGGCCGCGGTGGGCACCTCCCGGGCTCAGCCCCAGCCTGCGGTGCCTCCCGAGCCCGAGGCCCAGAGTGGGGAAGACGTGGGGGCTCTGGACTGCGCCTCTTCTCCTGCTACACCCTACTTCACTGGCCTGGAGCTCCCAGGAGAGCTGAAGTTGGACGCACCCTACAACTTCAACCACCCTTTCTCCATCGACAACCTGATGTCAGAACAGACACCAGCGCCTTCCAAACTGGATGTGGGGTTTGGGGGCTACGGGGCTGAGGGCGGGGAGCCAGGGGTCTACTACCAGAACCTCTATTCCCGCTCTCTGCTTAACGCATCCTAGCAGGGCAGTTGGGAGCGTGGTAACGGGGCTTAGCTGTGATGCACACCAGGTTCTTGGGCTCTCGTCCCCCTGGTCACACTCTGGTCGCTTGCCCCGCTGCTGTTGATGATGACCTGTTGGCTACTGTGGTTAGGGCCACGGACTGACTCCCCGGCGGGCCTTGGGTGTTGGGTATTGTGTAGGCAGCAATGCTCGGTGTACTGTGAAAGCCGCCAGCCATACTGAGTGAAGGAAGCCATCGGGTCGCCACGTTGGATGACATCCTGTTTGGCCCTCGCTGTCACATCCTGCCAGCCATGTCTTAATCTGGCCCACTGTCTCCTGGGATCACTTTTTTTTTTTTTTTTTTTTTTTTGGCAGACTCCTTGGTGGCCACATGTCATTTTTGACACACTGGAGGCATGGAGGGCCATCACACTGGCCAGGTGATAACTCAGCATGACGTTATGCCCCATGGCATCACCACAGCCCGGTCATCACCATCTCAGCTCCTCCTCGGTGGGGGTTGGGTGAAGGGTAGAGATGAGAACACCTTGTGACTTTCCTGTGAAGCCCGTCCCCACCCTGGATGTGAGAAAGCAGGACCAGTTATGGGTATGGGAGCTCGCTCTCACCGAGGTCAAGTTCTTGCCTGGGACTTGGGATACTGGCTGTGTTTCACCATTAAAAAGGCACCTTTTCTGTTCCTGAGTGTCTCTTTCTCCTTGGTGGACCCCGTGGGTCTCAAACACGGAAACTCCTGTCCCCGTGAACGGCTTCCCATCCCAGAGAGCTGGTGGCCCTTTATGGGGGAAGGGCTGGGGGAAAGCAGCAACGTGACCTTTGGCTCTTTGTCGTCCCTGACCCCAAGGACAGTTTGTTCATAGATAGCAGCCCCCGCAGTAGTTTAGCCAGAGGGGAGGTGGCTTTGCAAGTGACCAAGGCCATTGCCCTACCCCCACTCTCTCTCTCTCTCACACACACACACACCCACCCACACACACGCACACACACACACACACACACACACACACACGCGCACGCACGCACGCGCACCTGGGGCTCTGAGGGTCCAGGAATGTATGGGAACGAGGGAACTATGTATGGGCTATTCAATTTTGGGGAACAAAGGAAAAGGATAGAAGACTTGAGTGTGAGTGTGTGTGTGAGTGTGTTGTGAATTTTTGTACTTATTTTTGAGAAACACAGCCTTATAGTCTAGTCTGGGTTGCTCAGACTCAGGGCAATCGTGCGTCTGCCTTCCACGTGCGTGCCAGGGTTACAGGGGTGCACGCCTGGTTTTTACTGCTTTATTCTGGTGCATTCGGTGCTTGGAGCATGCTAGGCAGGAGCATGCTAGGCCAGCACCCACCTCGTGAGCGAGGTCCGCTGTCACTCCAGGGCTGTGACCCGCACTCGCCGCCCCCTCCTCCCCACCTTGGCTGTCTTCTCGGGCCTCCCTCCCTCCCTGTCTCCTGGTTCAGAGTTTCCGCCTGTACCTGCCGCCTGGCCTGGCCTGGCCTGGCCTGGCAGGCGGGCGGGCGGGTCCCTCTATTTCTGTCGCGGGCCCGCCTTGCCCGGGCTGTGTCACCCCCGCCCCCTGCCTTGCAGGCTCCCAGTTGCCAGCGGTGCCACCAGCCTGGCCGGGCCGTCCTGGGGAATTCCTCCCGGTTCCTGGAAAAAACAACTGTGGCCGAGAGAAAGGCCCTCAGTCTCCCCGGGCCCCGGCCCTCCCCCGGGCCTGGGGGTCTCCGGCCCGAGGCAGGAAGCCCTGCGGTTTCTGGCTTCTCCCCGGCGGCCTCCGGATCTGGCCCCCACCCCCCGGCCAACAGCCCAAATATTATTCCGCAGGAGCAGCCGGTGGCGGCGGGAGGAGGCCCGGCTTGAAAGAGGCTTTCAGGGCCGCCAGGCCTGGGGCTTCCTGTCCCCAGGCTCGGGCCTCAGGCCGCCCCACTGGGGACCTCAGGTGGCCCGAGGGGCGGGGTGTTGTTGCAGGGTCCTCAGGGGAGGGTGGGGCCACCGTCGGGGAGTCTGGTGGCCACCAGCTCGCCTGGCCTCGCCCGGTGTGGGCAGGTGTGACCCCCACCCCCACCCCACCCCCGGGACGGTCGGCTGGTGTCCAGCGTGGAAAAGTCCCACTGTCAGACGTGGGATGCGTGGACAGACAGGAGGGCGCCAGGGACGAGAGATGGGTCGGGGATGGGGGGCGGGGCGGGGCGGGAAACTGAGGCTAGGCGCTGGGGCCCTACTTGGGCACAGGGCTTCGAGAAGGGACAATGGGACAATGGGACAATGGCCCCAGCTTTTGGGCCCAGCGGCTGGCTCACACCTGTGGTCTCAGAGAGAGAGAGAGAGAGGCAGGAGGGCTGCTGGTATGGGGCCGACCCAGGCCACGCGGGAGTCTGTGTCTCTTAAGGAAAAGGAAACCCAGCTTGACAAGTAATGAGTAATTTGAATAATCCTTTTCTAGCTCCCCCCCACCTCACTTTGTTATGGACGACGGGGAATGACATGGAAATGTTTCTTGAGTTGATCAAGGTTACCCAGTTAATTATCGGGGTCCCAGGCAGGCCATCTGGCCTAGACTCAGTGCCCTGGACCTCCACTGTCTAGAGGAGAAGCCACACATGCAGACAGCCGGCGTCTGGGCAGTTGGCGGGTGTGTGTTTGTGTGTCATTTTGATGTGGCTTCTCTGTTGTTCTGTGACTTTTAGTGTCTTTTAGCATATTGGTGTGTGTGCTTCTGTTACCATGGAGTCTGCCACTGGGCCTATGCATGAAGACACTCTTTCCGTATGAAATGTCTCCGTCCCCGGTCCCCCAGACCTGTCACTGCAGATCTGCCTATATTGGTCACCGTGCGTCACTGTGTCTGTCCACCAGTGTGTCACCCTCTACCCTGGTGCCAGTGTGTGTGTTACTCACCACTCAGGCCACAGGTGGGCGTGTCGGGCCCATTGGTGCCAGGACTGCGGCCCGGCCCGGCCTACCCTGGCTACTGTGGTCCAGGTTGGACGCCTGTTTGCCATGCCTGCCTCAGGTAAACATGAGGATCCGGAGGCCCAGGGCACCTCCCTCACCTCTGCTCCCTGCCCAGCTGGACCACAGCCCACTGACATCCCCCCCCTCCCTGAACCCGTATTCCAAGCTTTGGCCTCAGCCTGGTCTCTGTCACTGTCTCTGTCTCTCTGGATTGGTGTGGCTCTCCCCCTTCCTAAGGCCGAGACCCTTTAACACAGTTCCTCTTGTTGTGGTGACCCCAATCCGAAGATTATTTCCGTTGCTACTCCGAAACTGATTTTGCTAGTGTTATGAACTGTGAATATCTGCTGTGCAAATGTTCCTAGGTGACCCCTGGGAAATGTTTGTCCCATCCCATCGGGCTCACCACCCACGGGTGGAGAACCACTGCTCTAGGGTTGCTTGTAGCTTAGGCTAGCCTGGAGTTCACCATGTAGCTGGGGGTGACTCGGACCCCTGTTCCTTCTCCTCGTACTGCCGTAACTGCCGACATTACAGGCATGAACCGCCATGCCCAGCTTAGGGGGTGTTGGGTATTGAACCCAGTTTCTCTCACACTAGACATGCACTCTGCCAAGGGATCCGCATGCCTAGCCTAGCCTTTTTCTTTTTAATGGTGGTGTGTTGGGGGGTTCTTTTGTTTATTTGAGACACGTAGATCAGGAGGACCCTGAATCCTTGTTCCTTTTCACCTCCCAGCTGCTGGGGTTCAGGCCACCACACTCCACACCAGTGCTCCTGTATTTTAATCTCTTGCTTTATTTCTGTCCCTACTTCCTTTTGCCTGTGTTCCCGAGGCTCCGACTTTCCCTTTCCTTCATTCTGTCAGACCTTTCTCCATCCTTTTTCTTCTTGCCAGCCAAGTTTGCTTCTCAGATGTGTCCCCAACTTCAGAATCAGCTGTTGTGTTGCTCTCCAAGTCTGGGCTCTCAGGCTGCTTCTCACCATGGAAGCTTCTCCCTCCTCTCCTCAGTTCAGGTCTTAGCCAGTGGCAGACACTGCCGTGCCTTGGCCCTTCAGGGACAGAGAGGCCCCCAGCCTCTGCCCCAGCCCGCTGGTATATATAAAAAGGTATATGTACATCTTATTTATATCTGTATGGAGGCAGGAGGGGCAGACACTGGGGCCTTTGTGTAGCCGCTGCCCGCTGCCCAGCAATCCTCTCCCTCCGTCCCTGCCACCCGCCCCGTTCACCCCCCCCCCCCATACAAAGGTTCCTGTCGGGCTTGCCAGCTTCCTCTGCCTGAGGTGTGAGTGGGCAGGGCACTGGGAGGCAGATGGGGACCCAGGATTTCTTTCCAGGGCCTCGGAGGCTTTCCCCGTGGGGCAAGTTCTGTAAAGGACTTGTCCCTCCTCCTGTGGCTGCCTGTATCTGTTGCCCCTGGTTACCCTCAAGTCCTTAGATGGAGTCTTCCCCCTGGGGAGGGGAGGGGTCGCCTGTGAGTCCGCCTGCCCACAGCTGCTTCAGTGTGGAACCAAGCAGCTTGCTACCTCAGGACCCTTGCACTGTCAGCCACAGATTTCTCTAGGCCTGCTCCTCCTTTCCCTTTATCTGAAAATATCAGTCTGTGACGCCCTTGCCTGGCCTGTCTTTTCCTGTGACTTGGGCACCTAGGGCTGTTCCAAGGGTCCATGCCTCTCATTTGAATGGCAGTTTCTGGGAACCATACTTTTAGTCCCCAATGAAACTGCAGCGGCTGACCCGGGACTTCACACACACACACACACACACACACACACACACACACACACACACACACACACACGATGGTGGCTGAGGTTTTTATACAGGGCAAGGAGCCTGCTTATTTGTGCACCCTGGGACACAGTGGGGGTCCAGACAGCCCTGACCCTCCCCTCAGAGCCCAACGTGGGCCAGGCTGGGGCAAGGGAGTATAGGGGGCTGCGCCAACCCAGAAATGACCTTCTAGGCAGCCTGGGAGTCAGGGAGGCTTACCGGATGAGGTAACAAGACGCCTAAGCTGGTCAGATAAGGAAGA